TAAAATTTGCACTGAAAATATACTTAAAGAGGCAAAATTTAAGGGTGTTTTATGAGCTTTTTACATATTAAATACAGTATATTTAAACATAATTTAAGCATTATTTATGGATATAAATATCTTACATAAAATATGCTAAAATTATATTTAATTTATACTTATAATATACATGATTATATAGTTAAATATTCTTAAAATTCAGTATATTTTCAGTATATTTTCAGTATATTTTCAGTATGCGAATTTTCTTACTGGGATACCATTCAAACTGCTTCGCGGTTTGGTGATATTTCAACCTTACACAATAACTATTATTTATACTATATTAAAAAGATTAAAGTCAAATATATTTGGTAAATTTGATACAAGTATCCTTATTCCAATATTTATTGGAAGCCAAATATGAAAGGCATTAATAATTGCTTACAATAATTACTTATTGTCTGAAGTGGAACGGGAGGACATTTCGTCTGTCCAGTCACGTGATCGAGAATCTTAATTACAAAAATTTAGTACAGAATTTGCTGTCAGCGGTGCCGATTTATTTTAAAGAAATGGGTAAAAAGTCAATATTAGAATAAAAGTCTATCATTATTAGTCAAAATAAGTACGGTATTTTAGAAGGCTTATGGTATAGAACCGGGATATAAATCAGTTATTTCACAAAGTCACTTTGGAATATCATTATTTTTCACGGCGCAATAAAACAATATGTAAAATAGAAAATTTATATAGTTACAATAGCTATGAATATTTTAAAAGTATTTTAAAACTCAATGAATATTGTTTAAAAGTTTTTTTTATAATTTTTATAAATGGTCTATTTTTATATTTTTCAAGTCATATAACTAATTTGCATTTATTTTACACATTATAGGAACTCTACACTCAAACTGATTGTTAAACATATACAGTATACTTTCAATCTCACAAAAAAAAATGCGCAAAGTGAGATCCCATAACGGATATTATCAATATTATCAGAATCATATATATTATATTTTTGGCTTAAAATAAGTATTTATCAAATTATTGTATAGCAAAACCAAATAAAAATTTTTTTAATGTTCGTCTCCAATCTTACTACGCTTATGTAATGTTTTGTGAAACACGTTGATTATAGGGTAATCAAATCCGCCGATATGTATTAATGAAAACTTAAAGATATCTGTAAGTAATAATAGTTCACGAAATTTTGATTCAGTTCTCAAACCAACTAATTCTTTAAATGTTTTGGAATCCAATCACGTGTCATATGATTTTGGCTAATTCATCGTGTTATAAAACATTATCCTTTGATCGGTACCACTTAAGTAAAATCTGACATAATAAAAAGTTTTCAATATATATATATTTTTTATTGTGAAGTTAGATTTATTGACGTAGTTAATAGTATAATATTTATTAAAGCATCAAGGCATTTCGTGATAAATTACAAAAAAATTCATACACAAAGAAAATAGGCAACAAGAGATCGGCACTCATTATCCTGTTATCCAAAAAAAGAAGGAACTACACATTATTTACGCAAAATCTGTATTGTTACCTTTTTATGTATTGCTCGAGGCCCTAAGAAAATCAGTGTATCACGATAATTATTACAGAAGCTGTTACTGCAACAATAATAATGCAGATTAATACATCGGAAAAATTATGCCCCGAAATAAATTAACCAATAGTTGGAGTAAGGTACTTTTGGATAAAAAAAGATCAAGTACCCATAAAATATCGTAAATTTTTCTGTAAATAAAGAGGACTTCTTAATGGAAATCGAATTTGATAAATTAAATATCTTGGAAAGAAACTTCAATCTTGTAAACATTAAAAATTGTTCGTACTGCAATGAACTTTTCACTGAAGAATTATGGTGTAAAGAGTGTGACCCATTTAGAATAATGGAAGGATGGACCAGTGGAAATTCTGATATTGATAAGTTTATAAAAGATACAATGTATAAGCCAAGATATAGTGATGAATTTCTTGAATGGGTGCCATTTGATAGATTTACAGATAAAAAAGAAATTGGCGAAGGTGGATTTGCCAAAGTATATTCTGCAATATGGATTGATGGTAAATCAAATTACTATATTAATAATGATGGAGATTACAAAAAAGTGGAGGCTGATCCTAAAAGAGTCGCTTTGAAAAGATTAAATGGATCACAGAATATGTCAGATAAATATTTAAATGAAGTATGTTTAATATTTATTATTTCTAATAAAAATTTGTTTCATCTATTTTGTTTAAATAATAAGGACTATTTAAAATTTTATTTTCAAATACAGCTTAAAATACATTGGAATTTATTTAGTAAAACATCAGGATTAAGTTTGTATGGAATTACTAAAGATCCTGAAACTAAAGAATTTATGATGATTATAAAATTTGCTGATAAGGGAAATTTGAGGAGTAGTCTTATAAATAATTTCAACAACATTTTATGGAAAAATAAAATTGTTTTATTGTTCGATTTATCAGAAAATCTACAAGATTTACATAAATTAGGATATTTTCATAAAGATTTTCATAGTGGAAATATATTACGAATTAATGATATTTTATCTTTCATTTCAGACTTTGGATTATCTGGACCGGTAAATGGACAAAAATCAGACGATAAAGTATACGGAGTGTTGCCATATATTGCGCCAGAGGTCTTAAATGGAGAACATTATACAACATCATCTGATATTTATAGTTTTGGTGTTGTTATGGCTGAATTATCATCTGGAAAACCACCATTCTACAATAAAAAACATGATCTAAATTTGGCATTAGCCATATGTAATGGACTAAGACCAGAATTTGGAAAAGGAACTCCTGAATTTTATAAGAAATTGGCTTATAGATGTATGAACGCTAATTCAAATGAAAGACCGACAGCTAAGGAATTGAAAATCATACTTACTATTTGGCGGAATGCTATCTATGGCTATTATAGAAATAAAGGAAAAGAAGGAAAAGAAATTAAAACAGCGTTTGAAGAAGCTGATAAGGAAATACCAAACATTTCAACTTCGTATGAAAAGAATTCTGATGCTGTATATACTAGTAGAGCATTTAATTTCAGTAATCTATTATCGAAACCTGTTAATTCTTCTATTATTACTTCATATATTAATGAAGAGAGTAATGAAGGTATTTTTTTTATCTCCCAAAATTTATATTTAATTAAAATTTTTAACGGTCACTAATGATTTACTGTGGTAACTAATTTTGGCGTTTTAATAGTTCATGATTCTCAATTAGTCAACTTAGAAATTCCTGATTTAAAAGGTATATATTGTTAATTATAATTTACTATTTAAATTATACGTTTTAAAATTATATTCTAATGATATTTATGTTATTTATAGATAAATTATGATGAGAATGTATATTATTATCGTTGAAATTTGTTAAAATTTGTTATTTATGCTTTTTATTTTCATTAATTTTTTACTTTATTTATATGTAGTTATAAGATAATTTTACGATAATTTAATAAATTATTCAATAATTTGCGGGAATAACTAAATTTGTGTTCTGATATATAAAGATCAAAATTATTATGAACTTGTTAAAAATTAATGACTTCATTCATTACAACATCAGATTTTGACAATTACAATTGGTTATTTTACAAATTAAATGATTTTCATTTTCAAGTACATCTGGGAATTATCTTAGATGTAAGAATTCGTAGCCTTGTTATTAGTCAAAATTAGTGATTGTATCCGGATTCATCATATCCGGTTAAGCTAAAAGGATATCCGATAAAAATGGATATCCGGATGAGTATCATGTGACCCGGATACACTCCGTTTTTGAATTGTGACTTAATTCTTACTTAACTCAAACTTTATTAAACTCGTGACTGATTTCTTTTTTATTTTATTTAACTCTTACTAAACAATAATAATAATTAAATTACTTGGCTTTAAAATTTATACAATTGATACATGATATTGACGGATTATTTTCAGATATCTGTTAAGAAACCCATTAAAAAATCCTTCAGCTGTCCGCGAAATTAACGGATTTATCCGGATGCTATCCGGATGTTATCCGGTTTATTTAAAACAGATATCCGGATATGAAAATCCACGGATTTTTTTATCCGGATACTTACCGGATACAATCACTACTCAAAATAAGTACCGTAATCCCCTGTCCGGCCTGTTGCACTAAGTGTCACTCATGATCACCTTTATATAATGCGAGTGATTAGCTGAGTTTATAAATGACTGAGAATCGTTTACTTATTTCCCGGCCTCATATAGATAGCCAGGAAATTACTAATTTAGTTTAAAATAGTCAAGTTTAAAATAGTTAATATTTAATGAGTGACACACTCCCCATTTATTTCATGGGAAGAAGAAGGGTTTTTTTCCCTTCAGGAAAAGTCATTGTGAAATATCATGATTTTTCACGGCTGCGCCGTAAAAATCATTGTTATCCAATATCTGACTCGCTCACAAATATTAATTTATATCACTTTAATATAAATTGATCTAGAAATTTTAGTCCATTATTGTAAAATAATAATAATGTTTTTAATTATATAATAGTTGATTATGAAAATAACACCTAAAGTGAGTATTTTAGCGTTTTGAATATTTTATTTAGTATAAAAATGTTCTTCTATTTCTCCTAGCCTACCCCTGTGAAATATCCAAACCAACCCAAATCCCCGCACAAAAAAGTACGAATTTATATTGTTAAAATGTTTATGAGATGGTCCTTTGAATATAACGTCTATATTGTAGAATCTAATTTGATACCAGATACCGTATTTATTGTATTCAATGACTAATGAAATTTCAAGAGTTTTATTAATTTGTTAAGTGTTTCAACAAATTGATTATCGTTGCAATTTAAATTAATGATAATTAAATCTTCTTGAGCTTCAACCAATTTAGTAATCTCATAATTATAACTATCCTTTTTAATAATAAGTTCCAATTCTTTGATCGAATTACAAATATTTGTTAATCCAGTCAAAATATTACGATTCGTATTAGTGCTACAATTAAGGTATTCAATTTTTGAAAAACAACTTTTTGCTCCAGGTATAAGATGTATTTGATAATCAAATAAACTTGGAATATAAAGGTGTGTAAAATTTGCATCTTCATTAATGAAAAGTTTTAATATTTCTTTTTTAATAATTTTTAATTTTGACCTTTCATTAATTGTATTAATTAATTTTTGAATCACATTTAAATTTAAATGTTTACAAAAACTAATATAATTAAATAAAGGTTTTTGAGTTGAAATATCGATACATTTGATTTTTAATTCATTTTTTGATTCCTCTGAAAAATGTGAAATAATAACATTCAATAATATCTTTTCTTTATTCCTTTTTAAATATTTCCATGGATTTTTCCATAAAATTGGAATAATCATTTCGCACCAAGTTTTGTTAATTAAAAGACATGATGGAAGTGCCTCTTTATCATCTTGTAATTTTTCAAATATCAAATAAAGAATATCTTTATTTAATTTGGACATTTTAAGAGACAAAGAGAAAAAGTGTTTTTTTTTCGTCCAACGGATCCCATTTGTTGCACATTTATAGTAAATGATCACGTTTGTGTAACTAAGCCTCAATGTCAAGCCTTTATAAAGAAATGTGGCTTGTTAGATTGTCATTTAAATTAATCAAATACAGCACCGAGTTAATTGGTTGTAAAGTTAGTCACCTGACTTGCACCATATTTTTTTATGATAAGATGTCAACTAACACCATTGTAATGTTGAGATTAAATCAGACGCTAAAAAAAAAACAATTATTATTGTTATTTATAATATTAAAAAAAAACACTTTTATAGACTTATAATGGAGAATAATTAATATTTTACAATATTTCTTTACATACTATAATAAAATATGAATTCTTTTGAATTTTTTATTTTATTTTAGAAAAACATGAAATTTTTTACGGTTCGTTTTTTTGAGAATTATCGCTTGTTAATCTAAATTAATTTATCATAGTCATCAATCGTAATCAATGAGTCATATGTTGAGGTTTTCGAAATTTTCTTTTAAATATTTATTTTGTAGAACGCACGGGTCGCACGGTCGTACAGATTATTCGGCCGAAATTATAAATCGGAAATCGGCAACAAAATAATCCGGAAAAAGTATTCCTTATTCGTATAACTCAAACATTTCCGTTTGATCAACGTTACAGTCGTTACACGTACTAAATAAATTTAAATATTGAAACTTAAAATTCCCCAAAATTTCAAAAATTGCAAGAAAATGTCTTTCGTGTTCCCTCGAGAAATTAGTAATGATTATGAAAAATTACTTGAAGTCGAAGAAGATCAAGATGTCATTATATATGCTGGTGAAAATGAAAATTTAAAAGAATTTCGTGCACACTCACTCATCTTATGTACTAGGTCTCAATATTTTTTTGCGGCTTTCTACAATGATTGGGTCGAAAAGAAAAATGGAAATTTTATTTTGAAAAAACCAAACATTTCTCCTCAATTATTTAAAATTATTTTAAGGTAATGAAATGAACAAATTCATGAATGGTATTTATAGCCGTTTTCAAAATAGTTGAGGCAGTTTATTTGTGATAGTATATTCAAATATCAATATTCGTCCGGTTTTGATCCATTATTTGTCCGGTATTTGTCCGGTTTCGGGTTTCTTTTTTTTTCATTCATATATAACTGCATCAACCATTTTGAAAACGACGATAATTTTGATAAATGCGGAAATTTATATTTATTTATTTTTTTTTTAACATATCATCTAGATTTATTTATTGTGGGAAAATTGATTTAACAAATTTTCAAGGTCCTGAAATGTTAAAACTTTTAACGGCAGTAGATGAACTTAATATTCAAGCATTGATAAATTGTGTTCAAAAGTATTTAATCAATGACGATGAAAAATTTTTACAACAGAATTTTACGGAAATTCTTCAAATAGTTTATCATAATGAACTCTTCACAGAGTTATTAAGTTATTGCCTTCATAAAATCGAAATATTATTTAATTCTGATAAAATTCTTAGTTTAGAAGCACATTTATTGGAATTTCTTTTAAAACAAGATGATTTAAATTTAGACGAGATTGAAGTTTGGGAGGGTTTAGTTAGATGGGGATTAGCTCAAGCACGAGAACTTGATTTATTTAAAGAGATTCTTTATAAATATATTCCTTTAATTAGATTTTATGCGATACCTCTTGAAGATTATAATAACAAAGTTAAATCTTATGAACAGATTTTACCTAAAGAATTACGTGAAGAAATTTCAAAATTTCATCTGGAACCCGAACCATCACTCAACTTTTTACCAAGACGTTTTGTTGATTCTACTATAATTAGTCGAAAACATGTCGCAATTTTTGCAAATTGGATTGCTAAAAGAGATAGAGGCAAATACAAAAATTGTAAGGTTTCTTATAAATTTAATCTTTTATTTAGAGCTAGTAAAGATGGCAATACAGCTGAATCATTTCATGCTAAATGTGATAATAAGGGAGCTACTTTAGTAGTAGTAAAACTTAATGATTCAGAACGTTTAGTTGGAGGATATAATCCACTTTTTTGGGATTCAAGTAATAGTGGTAAAAATACAAAAGATAGTTTTATATTCACTTTTGAAAATAAAAAGAATTTTCGAACTGCGGAATTTGTTTATAGTTATAATGGTCAATTTTCTATATATTGTGGTTCTTTTAATGGTCCGGTATTCGGTTATAATGACTTATCTGTAAATTATAATCAGCCTGATACTTGGTACAGTTATTCGGGAAGTTATCCTAGACTTGACTTACCACACATTATGATCGCAAATGATTATGAAGTATTTCAAGTTATTAGAAAATGCGTATAGAGAGATATTAGCTGTACGCATTCTTTCAGGGTCAAAATTACGACAATTTCAGTCGGCATTAACAAGTCATAATTCCTGGCTGGAATTATAAATTATATACAAAAGTCATAGAAAGAAATGGATAGATTTTGTTAATTTGAATGAAATCATATTTTTATTTGTATTATTTAATAAATCTAATAAATTTAAATTAATTATTATCATTAATAATATATTTAATTTTTATTTCTAATGAAAACTAATTGCTATTATTGTCCAATCGATTAGTAATGTGTGGGATTTTGCTGACCGGCTGACCGATATTTTTAGAGTGATACGGAAAGTTGTGGAGTCTGATGAGATTGATGAGTGGAGTACGGTCCCCTATGTGACAGTTTACTCAAGTGATAAATAACACGACGGGCCAAACACGTGATTCAGAGTGGGCCGAAATACTATTCATCACTTGAGTACGCTTCATATCCATTATTTTACACGCCGCCAAATGTCACCGTACTCCTCCATCGGACTCCACAACTATTATATTTTTATTAGAGAAACCAGAATAAGTAGCATTAATTCTATTGGTCACTGCTATTCTAATGAACAAACTATAACTCAGTTATATCAGCCTTCAACTATAATAATTATATATGTTAAAGATTATACTTATAAACTAGGGTTGCATCACTGTTGCATTAAGCCACCTACTCACCCGTTCACAACCGCACTAAGTCAATTATTGATGCACAGAAATTATATATACTTATAAATAAAATTTATTTGTAAATTTTGTAAATTTGTTATAAATAATTTCAATGATCAATTATTATGGTATTAAAAAATTTGAATATTTAAATAGTATACTAATTCATTAAATCAATATAGTAAGGTATTTATATATTTAATAATTTGAATAAATTTATTAAAATTATTTAAATTACAAACTAAGAATTTTGTAAAACATTTACTACTCTAGTCTTAGTGTTTAAATAATCCATGATAAATAAATAAGTTATAATAATTTAAAATATAAAAAAAAATATTGTTAATTTGATTCATCAAAAGACAATTTAAAATCCACCTAAAGATAATAAATAGATTAATTATTTGCTTTATAAAGAAATTTATTTTTTCTACTTCATTTATTTTAAGAGCTTACCATCAGGAATTTCCAGTTCATCTTGTTCTTTTGAATGAAAGTTTGGATTATTATATACTTCGTTATCATCTAAGTAAATAGAATTAAAATAGTATTAAAATTTATTATGTAAAATTTTCACCTACCATCGACATATTTTTGAGTTTTATCTTTTTCGTAAATAAAAGTCGCATTTAATAAATTAAATTGATATAGTAACTTTATTTGTTAGTAATTTACTTACTATTTGACTTTATTTGCAACTTTTTAAATAATTTAGACAATTATTCATTACTATCTAAAAATTAAGATATAAATTTAATATATAAATCAATCTCGATTTGACAATAATTGAAATATATTACCTCTAAAAATAGCAATTACTTTTGATGATTTGCTACTATTCTGCTCATTTGATTTATTAAAGTCGTTAACTAAAATAAAAATGAATCTTGCTAATTTGCTCTCCGGGTGAAATCACCCAGGTGATTTCACTCATATATAAATTTATTAAAATCAGGTGATTTCACCCATAATAAATCATGTATAAAATTTTTATTTTGATTTGCATATAAAAATAAATTTTTACGAACATTTATTGTGAATAGAAAAGTCTAGCTACACCATATATATGGTTTATATGATAACCCTTGATACCACCACTAAAGTTAAAAATAATTGAAATTATACTAAATTATAATGAACTAAAGATAAAATTAAATGAGATTAAATGAATTCAGAAATAAAAATATACAAGATTAGAATGAACCAAAACCAAAGAGAAGATAAATGAAATCAAACACAAGTAAAAATGAAATCGTATAAAGAAAATAAAAAATCCCAACCAAAGGAAAAGTTGCCCAAGAAGAAACCCAAAAAAGAAACTCAAAGAAAAAATCAAAAAAAACCCGAAGAAGAACCACGAAAAGAAATCCAAAGAAAAACAAAAAAAATCCAAAGAAAAGACCCAAGAAGAACCCCAAAAGAAACCCAATGAAACCCAGAAGAAATCCAAAGAAAAGACCCGAAAAAAAAATCCAAAAGAAATACAATGAAACCCAAGAAGAAATCCAAAGAAGAAGTCCAAGGAAAAATCCAGCCAAAATAGAAGAAACCCAAATGAAAAATGAAACTGGTTAGTTACTGTAAGGAAACTAGACTTCTGAAATTCTGAAAAACTTGAAACTTACCATTTACTACATTTACTAGGATACCGAAGTTGAAAAATCTACAAAAAGAAAATGGGTAAGTAAGGAACAATAGCAAATAAAAAAGTAAACAAATATTATAAAAAAAAAGCTTACCTTCAAAAGTCTAAGAAAAAAGAAAAAGCGTTAAAGAGCGTTAAAAGACGTTAAAAATGTTAAAGGTTGTCAAAAAATGTTGAAGGATGTTAAAGAACGTTAAAAAAAGGTTATTCGTTATCTGATAAACAAATAAACAAAAGTGATATCACCTACGTTAAATAAATTTATTATCATTATAAAAATAATAAAAATTAATAGGTGATATCACCTAGGCGATTTCACCCCAAGTGAAAATTAGTTATAATCAATAAAAGTTAATTATTAAACATTATTATATGGTAATTAAACGTTATAATGTTATTAAATACTTACTATCGTTAGGAATGTTAAAATCATACAATTTACTATGAAGCACTATTAGCAATAAAATAAAGTATTTAAAACTAAATTATTATAGTAATCAAAAAATGGTAGAAATTATTATTTATACGGTTATACCTTCTTGTTCTTCTATTATATTAAAAAGATAACATTAATAATGTATTTTAAAATAAATATATTCATTAATAAAATATTATACACTTATACCTTCTGTTGCATTTCTTGGTTCAGGTAAATTTCCAAAGTTGTATAATCTGCTACTCGTATAATTTTCTTCTACTTTATTCATTTCTAAATTATCCATTTCTGATTTGAATAATTTATCTGACATATTTTGATAATATAAATTAATTTTTTCCATTCTTTTCCCAAGTGCAAAAGCGTTAGGTCTTTTTAATGGATCAGCATCCCAACATTCTTTCATTAAATTTTTATATTCTAATGGAGTTCCTGGCACAATTTTTGGCCTTATACCGTTAATAATATTCATTACAATATCATTTTCATGTTCATAATTTATTAATGGTGTTTGTCCAGATGAAATTTCCCACATAAGAATTGCAATACTATAAATATCAGATGCAAAAGTATAATCTATTCCAACAATAACTTCAGGAGAAATATAAGGAAGAATTCCATATATACTTGTTGAAAATTTATCAGCAGGTCCACAAAATCCAAGGTCACTAATATACCAATGATCATTTAACTGTGAATATAATATATTTCCGGAATGTAAATCTCTATGTATAGCTTTCTCTTTATGAATATAATAAAGTGAACGAATTATTACATTAATGATTTTCATTCTATCTTTCCATGTAAGTTGATTATGATTTTGTTGTAAATATTTTCTTAAATCTATATCCATTTTCCCCATTACAAGCATATAATTTCCATTTGATGGATTTTGCGTTAAACCATAACATCGAACAACATTCGGCCATTTATTACTTATAGTTAAATGCGATTTAGCCTAAAAGACAATAATTTGTAAAAATACTAGTGCTAATACAAGAATTATAACAATTTTATAAAATATAGAATACAATAATACAAACCTCTTCAAACCAACTTTGGTTTGCACTTTCAACATTTTCTAATTCTTTAAGCACTATATCAAGATTTCCGAATCTCGTTAATTGTTTTTTTTCAGAATCCCATTCATCATATCTTCCATCGATCCAGCCTGCTGTATAGATTTTAGAAAATCCACCTTTTGTTAAATATTTAATATTTTCTAAATTACTATATGGGATCCATTCAACTATTCTACTCGGCATAAGTGATTCCATTTGACATTTCTGTATTAAATTATCAATATCATCATTTCCAGATGTCCAATTTGAAAAATCTTCTTTTAAATAATTTCGAACACAATATTCACAATATAATGTGGCTAAACATTCTTGCTTACAATTTTCACAAATTCTTTTTGTTCCTGAATTAATTCTAACTTTATTTCGATCATAACCTTTAGTTATCCATCTTATTGCATAAGTTTTTTCATCATTTATAAGAATATTATCAGCATGGACTGTTTGTTTTTTAAATTCAAATTGTTTGTGTATATCATTGTAAATTTTAGTATCTATTAATGATGTTGCTCTATTAATTGCTGCACCAATTAATTCATATCGAAGAGTGGACATAATGTAATCAATAAGAAAGAAAGAATGAATGAATTTAAGTTCATTCACTTGATAAGTTAGTAAAATTGTTGATCAAAATTTCATGTTGTCCCACATAAATTTTGTGACCTTGAGGCGTAATATTTTACGCCTCATAACCTAAAAAAGAAAAATATTATCAATAATTTACGTTTTTTTATTTTTTATTTTTATTTTTATTTTTTTTTCAGAGAATATAATACAAATTTGATTAATGAATCAAATAATTTGATAAATAAAAATCAATGATTATTATTCAATAATTTTTTTGTAGTATTTTACTCAAAAAAATCAATATTATTTTAGTGTAATAGGTATGTCATGGGTTTTCATGTTACACAATCCTATGAAGACTATTCTAAAGTTTAAACGTCAGACATATTTTTTTTTGTTATATAGATAGAGTTTAAAAAAATTTACAAAAAAAAAAATAACATATATGATTAAAAAAATACGAAATATAAATATATTAAATTATATTTCAATAATTTACTTGGTTTTGCTGTATTATTTTCATTTCTATTATTAAATTAAATTATGTTACAATAAATTTAATAATAAAAAAAATTCTTTTACATAGCGTTTAATTTTACTATAATAGGACTGAAGAATATATATAATATTAGGATCTAATTTTGTAATAAATAGACTTACTATATAATTTTCCAGTAAGTCAAATTAAAAGTGATTTATTGTAAGATTTTTTAATATTCATCTAAAATCTTTTTATTTAATAAAATTCATTTTTTAAAAAATCTTTTTTTAACGAGAAATTTTTTTTATAAAGTCTATGGAAATTTTTTAATAAAATCCATTTGAATTTTTGATATAGATTTTTGTTTGAGAAAACTAATGTGAGAGATTTTTTTGAGAAATTTTTGCATTAAGTATAAATTGATGCATTCGGAAAAATTTACAAAATTAATTTTAACTCTACGATTCATAGCTTGTTTGAAAGCTCTTAATACTACGAATGTGATCATAGTACTGAAATTTAAAAATAATCAGTTTTAGCCCGAATTTTATTTTAATAACTATTTTCATCCGAATAAAATAATTTATCCGGATAACGGTTTTTATCCGGATCGAAGCACTAAATAAATAATACTACTTTTTATTATCATTTGCTTTTACTTTAGATAATTCGGCAAGTTAATGTTTATTATTTCTTAATTTCTTAATTTATTAATTCAAAAGTTGGCTGGAAAAGGCTCATTCTAGTTGCATTGAAAATGAAAGTGCGAAAATATTTCCGATAATTTTACGCTTATTAAAGCTCAAATTGTAACGTAAAAGATTTTACTATTATTAATGATTTAAAGTATTGAAAGTGACAAGTCATTATGGTCATTATGGTAATTATACGCTATATATAAAGGTTTATTATGAATTATTTAAAGACAACAAGAATACAGTTATTGGCCAATACTAGAGTAGCGAAGTTGTTAGAATTTTAATTGCAATGTATAGATTAGCAAATTTTTTTTTGCAGACTGACATAACATGTGAGTGATTAGTCGTAAGAAATTGCAATTTATTCAGATTCATATTTTGATAATTATAATAGCATCCATTATAATTACAAAATAAAAGGTTAATCTCCATATAAAAAAATTGGTTATTTAAATGCTGTATTACGATCATATAATTCATGAAAATTTTTTAATGAGCTCTTTAACATCTTATTTTGCTTCTTTTTATCGTCAATGAAACTAAGTACTATATTATAATATTATTTTGTGAACAGTAAAGTTGAAAATAGCAGTTTAGTTAAGATCATATATAATTTTTTTATTAAAGTATTAATAATATATATGTAAAAAAAGAAATTTTTGTCTCAAATAACGACAATAATATACATTAAATTATTTACTAAAGTGTCTTTATAAAATTCGTAACTAACAATGTTTTTATACTCCAAATCCAAATAATTTTATACGTGGTAAGCTTTTTAAAATTAGAGGTTGGAACCGATTAACGTTAATCGATTAATTAATCGGTTAAGGCGGTTAATCGGTTAAAAGTATCAAAAAATCGGTTAATCGACTAATTAACCGACTAAATTAACCGATTAATTAACCGACTAATTTAGTCGGTTAAAATAATATGCAGATCATTTTCTCAGATTAGATGATTTTTTATCCCGAAATTCCGATAAGAAGTTTTTTTTAATATACAGTATTGACAAACTTGTCAAAAAATAAACCCATTTAAACTTTTTAT